CCTAAAATTCATGATAATAAGCAAAAATAATTATTTCATTTCATTTTTAAAAAGAATGGATTATTTTTGGAGACAATGGGGTCACTTACACACAAAACTTATAAAATAAAGATCCTGGACAAAAATATCACTATTTATTAAAAATAGACTATTTTTCAGAAAGACGATGTCACTTACTCACAAATATTTGAGAGGGAGCTTCCGATAAAAATTCGGTTCGAAAGAGGAGTTCACTGTGTTTCGACCAGAGAGAGAGATCGCAAAAGTTTCTAGGGTGGGAGTGCTCACCTCCCCTATTTAAATTCTTATAACGTATTATTATAATATTTTATTACGCATTACCTCATACCTTAGGTGTTGCGTTAAGCGTCTGCTTTTAACATAGGAAAACCACGTCCGCTAAAGGACATTGCCAGCTGCAAGCAGCAACTGCAAAGGCTGCAAACAAAAGCAGCAGCAAAAGTTTTAAACCAAGTAAAAGTTTTTGAAAATAGTGATGGTCCCCAAGGACCATCATACTCAAACAGACCATCACCTATTTAAAAGCATCTTTTCTTCTTTTTTTTTTTTTTTTTTTTTTTTTTGAAATTTAAGGATTGTTACAGAGGTATTCATGCATCACACTTCAAAAGGCATTAACGCTTAATTTGTAACATAAAGTACTCCATGAACAGGAAAACCCTGATGAGCCTATCTGTGCATACAAAAGACTGAGAAATTAGGAAAGTGAGAGTGATTTCTAGTATCAAAATCAAGGTTCAAGTGGAGCAGTTGAAAGGAAAAGTTCAACGGAGATTCAACAACTATCGTCAAAGAGATTTTTGATGCTAACCTGGGTCAAGGAAAATCAGAGGAAGACCGATATTAGAACCTTCCTGCCACTTGGAGGAGAGAAAGGTGATCAAATTCTTACATGATCTTGAGGCGAATTGCTAAAAAAAAGAAGGGGCACCTTTGACTCTTCTTCCTCCTCCCCCTCTTCCTTTGTCATTATTTTTTTCTTCAAAAAAAAATTATCCGTTGGGCTGAAAATCCGAAAAGAACCCCAAGCGTTAGAAAAAAGGCTACCGAGCTGAATACCAGAAAAGGATCCTAGAGCGATAAAAATACATAAAAATCAGCTGGGCTGAAAATTTGAAAGGAACCCCAAGCGTTGGAAAAAAGGCTACCAGGCTGAACACTCAAAAGGGACCCCTTGGCGATGAAAACGAAGAAGTTTTCTCCTTCCTTCTATTCTCCACAGTCCTTTCTCTCTAAATATCTTCTCTTCCTTCTTCCTGAGTCAAAATGGTGTCAAGAGAAAAATCATTTAGCATTAGCCTGATGGAACTTTGTTAAGGTCCTCGATCTTTTGGAGCTTCGAAAGGTGAATGGTGTGGAGGAACGAAATCGAAAATCCAAAGAGATTCTGAACACCCAGGGGCAGTATCCTATATTTTCAAAACTATGTTTTACTCTAAAGCTCAAAAGAACTCTCATTTGAATTGAAATGTAAGAGTTTAGGTTGGAAGATAAAGAAATACTTTATGATTCCTCGTCCTGAAGATTCAAGCAAGGACCCAATACGCTCACATAGGATCCACCAAAGGGGTCACAAGTGGTTAAACTGTAAGACCTACATTAAAAGTAAGCCACCGCTCAATAGGGGCAGCAAAAAAATAATAGTAGTAATAATACAAAATAATAAAAACTCCACGGTCATATGAGTATAACTGTTGACTATACCGTCCTTTGTTGCATGACGTTAAATTGCTTAGAGGGCTCTATGGTTGCAGGAGTTAAAAATGCTAACCAAAATTTGTTTTCAAAATATCTTTCTCTTTTCAAAATTTTCATTATATGTCTTAGATTTTCAAAAATTTTAATTTCTTTGTTAAAATCGTAACATATCCTTGCTCTGGGTTCCATTTCGAATCTCTCCCTCTTTTCAAAATCTCTAAAACATCTTTTAAAACGAAAGAGCTTGGACACCCGTAAATGATATTTACCCCATTGTTGCCTCATCTCTTCATCTTTCTCTCTTCAGAATTGGCCATACAAGCCTTTTCCTAAATAGGAAAAACCTATTGAAAGCTTTAGGAAACCTTAAGGAAATTAAACAAAATGTCAGGTTTAAGAATTTGAAATTGTGAAAACCCCTAAAATTAAGTGGCATGGGCAAAAAATCTAACCCGAGTTTCAAGCTTGTGTAACTCACCGACATCTCACGCCTAAAAACCCTAGGAGGAAAATGCCCTAGGTGGCTGAGCGGGGAGCGCCATGTCTTTAAGGGATAGTTGGTATGCCCTCTGATCACAAAACGTCAGGATGAATTTTAAAATGTATGCATTATCTTTGTCGCTCACCTATCCCTCGAAAGATAGGAAACGCCAAAGAGTGTCTACTTCTTTGCTACTCACTTGTCTCTCGAAGGACAGGGAGTGCCAAAGAAGGGCAACTGTAGACATCTAACAAATTCCATGATTTTTCTAACCTTAGAACCCATAGGACCACACTATTTCAGTAGACCCCTAAACCATAGACCACCACAATCCGTGGTTTCATCCTATGATCCACACCTGGCAAATCCTCAGCTTTTAATAGTTATCCATTCTACACGTAACAAATCCCCAACTTTTAGTAGTTATCCATTCTACACCTAGCAAATCCCCATGTTTTAGTCGTTATCTATTCTACATCCTTATTAGGTATCTAAGAAAAATAAAATTGACGTCCTTTTATTTTGGGAAGGAGGTGGCACGTGGGAGACTAGGGACACCTCTTAAAAAAGTGGGCGTGTAGGTTAAAAAAAAAGGAGCTGAGAAGTGGGAGGCGAGAAGTTAGTGAGAGAGACCCAAAGAAAGAATAACCTAGACCTAAAAACCCTAGTTCAAAGCTATTTTTAGATCAGAAAAACCATTCAACCAGGCTAAGGCCTGGTCAACACTTGGAGAAAAAGAGAAAAAGAGGACACCGATTCTGATACGGGCGAGCCCCCGAAGGCTCCAGAGTCCCGAACCATCTGGTCCGATTGATATCATTTATTACTCTTTATTATTTATTTTCTACTTTTATTTCATTTTAATTATATTATATTAGTTTTTATTGCTTTTTATTTTGTGTTTCATATTCGGATCAATGCTGGCGCTACCACTGATATGAGAACAGATCCGCTCATTTATGGACGGATCTAGCCTCAAATAAGAATTTGATTTTCCCCACATTCTCTATCATCTTTTTTTAAAATCAATTTGTGGTGTTCAGATCTGAGGGATATTCCTCGGAAGATCTCTCTGATTTTGCATTGTAAACACACCTTAAAACTCATTGGAAAATGTTGTTTCATCATTAAAAAACACTCTAATTGATCATTTCTACTTCGCTATGTATGTATATGAAAGAAAAATTAAATTTTAAGTATTAATAAGAGTATATCTAGACTGTCCATTATCAAGATATTTAAATGTTCATAGATTTGCTAGATCTATAATATTTTTGGAGCTTTCAATTTATAATAAGGGTGAAAGTTACATTTTAGGGCGATCATAAGAGTTTCGGCATCTAAAATACATCTTATAATGAGATTTTGGGGTGCACCTTACCGTGATTGTTTTAGGATGACACCTTATACAAACCTTCCCATTTTTATAATGCTAAGTCTTTAAGATGTGATTGAAATATCTCTTGTGCCATATCCATTTAGCTTCTTTCGGTGAGGGGATATTACATTCAGAAGTTCTTTTCTTCTATATCATTCATGAGATTGCTATAAACAGCTACCAACGACTCTCGACCTGTTTTAGAGTATGTTTGATACCAGGAAGTTAGAAGAGGAAAAAAGAACTTCACTGTTCAAGTTTTGTGTTTGATAAAAAAAATGAACGTTAAATGAGAACTCCACACTACTGTTCATCTACCTATTATCCCGTGTAAAAAAAGTTCCGACCCAAAGGTCGGAACTTGTAATAAGAAGTTAGGTTTTGGACTTCACCCCCTGAAATAAGAAGTCAAGCTTCGCTTCAGCCCCCGATAACCCTAGCCCTCTTTGTTCCCATCTTCGCCGCTGAGCACCCTCGTTCCCATCTTGCCATCTTCGCCGCTGAGCACCCTCTCTTCGCAGCACGACCCCTCTGAGCACCCTCTCTTCGCCACTGAGCACCCTAAAGCAACGTTCTCTCTCTCCCTGAACTCAAAACTCTCTTATTGGTTGGTACAGGAAGGAACACCTAGGACTCTTCTCTTCTCAGCTCATTCACGCCCGGTCAAAAGCTTCCCGTCTCAACAACATCTAGCCATCGTCTATTTTCTTCCCTTTCATTTCAGGTAGACTTCTCCTTTTTTTTTTTATCTGGCAATTTGGTGGTTTGTTTGTTTTTTGTTTAGGCATTATTCTTCTTTGAATTTGTATCCATAGAGCGGTAATCGGCAGCCGCCATTGACTGTTCTACAGTAAAACCCTAACCCTAAATCAACGTTCTCTCTCCCCTTGAACTCAAAACTCTCTGTTGTGAGTTTCAAATCAGTCCCAAATTCCAATCTCTCTCTCTCTGTCTCTCTCTCTCTCTCTCACACACACACACACACACACACACACACCAACCCACCATCAAACCCCCAATTCAGACCTTTAATCAGGTACTTGTTTGTTCTCTCTCTCTCTCTACACACACGGTATTTATTTGTTTCCAAATTTTTATTTTTGTTTCATGTTTTGGTGTTTTTTGTTGTTACTTGTTTTTTTTTTTTCATTTTCCTTATGTTTTTGTTTTTTGGGTGTTGTGTTTATGCCAAATGTGAATTTGGGTTTACTGTATATTAGTTAATTTGCAACAATCAGGTATCCCCTAGTTTGCATTATGTATCCCCTAGTTTGCATTATGCTCTGTCGTGATGCTTTTTTTCCTTTGTTGGAAATAAATTATAATTTTGATCAAAGTAAAAAACTAGATCATATGAAATGCTGGGTTTATGATTTTTTGTTTTTGTTTGTCTCAAATTTTGTATTTTTTTTTGCTTTTGATTTATGTCTCTTCTACATGCTGCTATGTTGCTTTTGGTTGTTTCTGATTTTTTCTTTTAGTGCATTGTGTCGTCCATTTTTTTTGTAAAAGTTGAATTGGGTTACAATAAATGAGTTAATTTTTATGCTTTTTATGTGTGCCTCTTTTATTGTGTAACAATGTGGTTTGGATGAAAATTAAGATTTATTTTATTTTCTCCATTTTATGGGGTTATTTTGTGTAATATATATCGGTTGTTATGTGGAAAGGTTCCCACTTTCTAGCTTTGTGTATGTATTTTTGTTTCTGAAATCTGGAACTGTATTAATTTGATCATATATTAAAAGTTTAAAATTTGTTTTATTCAATGATGTCTCTGCTAATGGTGATTGTAATTAGTATATATTTCCTTGTTTTGAATCTAAATTATATTTTTATGGGGTTTTTATGTTTTGAAGTTTTGGTTAAATTCCGGCTTTTTTTTTGTGGGTTTTTTACCATTTTCAGACCGTTGTTTTATCACATTCGGAGTTTATGTCGACTTTAGTGCGTAGATCCTAACCATTTGAATGATATTAGGGCTTATTTGGTTGTTGGATTCTATTTGGTTTTTTGGGGCATTTTCACTTGAGAGTAGTTTTTCAACTCTTTTGATCATATAATTCTAAATTGGTAAAGTTTTCGTACAACCCATATAAGCCACATTTTTTTTATAAACAAAACAAAAATCAGGATTTTGTTAAAAGTATTATTGTAACTAAAAAAAAGAAAAAGTTATATGGCTGGTTTTAAAAATAGAAAATAATAATTATTGGTCTGTAATAGTCCACAAAGAATCAATTAAAAACATTTGATTCAAATTTACATGTAAGTTTTGATTTTTCAGTAGATAATTTCTCATCTTAGGAGTTGAGGGTTCTTAGGCTTTATAATTCTATGGTGAACTCTCCTCTTCTACTCATGTTTCTTTAATAAGAATTTTTTTCATGTATTTTTCCCTCAAGAATAGTGTCTTTTTCTTTGTGCACATCAATAATTGTACATGCAACTATAGGTATTTTTGTTTGATTTGGTTTAAAGAAATTTCGTCATCCCCAAAATTTCATGAACACTGAAAGTGCGAAATCAAGGATAAGTTTTCGCGAGTGCTTCATAATACAATATTTAATGTCAATCTCTATCCTTAAGTAGTTTTAATTATCACTATTGGGTTGAGGTTGAATGTGGTTAACTTGTAACCGACTTCATTGAACATTATATTGGTTTTTTATTTGCTTCCTGCCCTTTATTGGATTTTCATTTTCCTTTGATGTTGATACTATGAGTTTGTTAAGGTTTTGGTCCAATGTTCATGTCTCTACTGGTAAAGACTCCAGAGCATTGGTTAAAAATCGCCTGAGTTGACTCTGGACTTGACGGAGTCGATTTGGATTGGGTGGTCTTGGCCAAGTGTGGATCTTTTGTGTTTATTTTTTTAGGCACTTGGAATCTTATAAAACCTTGTAGGATCATATACCAAGTTGACTTAGCTTGATAGCAAGTGTTGACTCATGTAAACAAGAAATGCATGAATTATTAACATTTTCATTTTCTTCACTGAATGGTTTCATTTGTTCCAAGTATTTCATTGAAATTGCTTTGCTAATTTTTTTTGAAATTGCTTTGTTATGCAGCTATGATGTGGGTTCATGATGTCTGATATATTTTTTCTACGATACACAACTATGATGTGGGTTTGTTTATTTCTTTTTATGCAAAGAAGAAATGCATGAATTACCGACTTTTTCATTTTCTTCACTTAATAGTTTCATTTGTTCTAAGTATTTATTGAAATTGCTTTGCTATTTTTTTAAAAATTGCTTTGATATACAGCTATGATGTGGGTTCATGAAATCAGATTTTTTTTTTTTAAATTGCTTTGCAATGGATGTGCGGTGCTCAATACGATGGACCCATACACATGATCCAATGCGGCAAATGAGAGCATGGGAGTGAAGAGGTCCATCCAATGGACATAGTTAAAAGAGGACTACTATATTGAACTAATGGAGAAGGTGCCATGATAAATAAATATGGGTCAAGAAACAATGAAAGTAGGCTGAAAAGCAAACATAAGTTCTTAGGACCATGTACTTTGATATCAAGAAACTTATGAATGTATCCGGTTTCGGATGAGATGATCGTAGAAGGATAGTAACCGTCAAGGTTGCTGTTTGGAATGACTTCCTAGCGGTATGTAATTATTCATTTGCACCGACTTTTAAAATGTTGACTATGTTTCAATATGAATATCGCTAAAAATAAATTATGGCCTTCCATATGCAGGAGAATGAATGGGCAAACAAATACCAAAACAAGACTTTGCCCGAGTATTCGGTGCTAAGTAAATCTGTTAGGGTGGAACGGCAGATGGGACATACAAATCCATTGGGGGTGGCGTCAGAATTGAGCCAGAAAGGCCCAACATTGCATTATCTGGTGACCCCCCATTAGAAGTCTAGGATGAATCTAGCTCATCCTCATCTGATGAGCTAGTATCATCTGGATAAAAAAGACGATGGTCTCATACTTCGATAGGAGCACATCACCGATCAAAGCAACTCAGGGCATTGAGACGTTGGCATGTGACAAGCCTCCAGTAGAGTCCAAGGCTAGGAGAGATGCCTGTAAAATTGTTGAAGGCATGTGGAAAGCAGGCGAAGTTGGTGATGATGTCCTTTTAATGGCTGCAAGGATCTTCCAAGATTCTACAAAGGCGGAGATGTTACTAAACTTGGAGGATCCAATGATACAAAATGCTTACTTAGATGACGAGATAAAATGCCTTCAATAGAGTTCTAATTTCATATGTTTAATTTTAACATCAAAGACTGTTACTTTCATTTGTAGGTGGATGACTTATGTCATTTTAATGTCAAATATTGCTTCATGGTTTGCTTTACAGATGATGACTTCTTTCATTTTTGTGATGGTTTTGCTTTATGGATGATGAAAGAGATGGCTTCTTTTATTTGTATGTGGATGACTTTTTTTATTTTAATGTCAAAGATTGCTTCATGGTTTGCTTTATGGATGATGTCTTTTTTTATTTGTATGTAGATGGCTTCTTTCATTTTAATGTCAATATTGCTTCATGGTTTGCTTGATTGTTGTGGATGGCTTCTTTCATTTGTAGTTATGGATCCCTAACGACATCGGTTGGTGGTAATATTATGTGCTGCATATGCAGTGTGTTACATTGCATATTGGTATATCATTACCCAAACAAGGAGGAGGCGTGTTCATACTTCAATTTTTACGGGGGCTAATTATGTCCAATACTTGCTGTCAGGGCACCCTCGTAAGTGCTTTGACAAGTTATGCATGGAGAGAAGCATTTTTTTCAGTTTATGTAATTTGTTAAAAGAGAGGACAAACATTATAAATACAAGATATTTGGTATTGATGAACAAGCAACGATGTTTTTAAGCATTGTCACACACGATCAGCGGAGTAGGGTGGTCCAGCAACGGTTCCAACATTTAGGGCAAACCATAAGTCACTTCTTCAATAGAGTTTTAAAAGCGATTTTAGAATTGAAACCTTTGTTCTTGTAACCAACAAACAATGAAACACTTGCCTACATTGCTGTTGATACACTACGTTTTTACCCATATTTCAAGGTATGAGTATCAAGTATTCTATATTGTCCTTCTCACATCCACATCTTACTATATATAAATAATGGTGATTTGTTTGTCTTAATAGGATTATGTCGGAGCTATTGATGAGACTCGTATCCATGCTCGAGTTCGTAGTTGATTGCATAATCGTTTTCGAAACAGAAAAGGTTTTTTAAGCTAAAATGTTATGGCTGCGGTTGGTTTTGACATACGCTTCCATTATGTACTTGCAGCTTGGGAAGGATCTGCATCAGATTCTAAAGTTTTATATGATGGGCTTGCAGTGCCTGAGGGTAACTCCATTATAATATTTTTTGTTGCTTCGGTTTGTACAATATTTGGAAGTGTAATATTTGGCTTTATAATATACTCATTGCACAAACATGAAACATGAAAATAAGACCTTGTAGATGGTGGCTATCCTGCTATGCGTGGTTTCATAAGACCATATCGAAGAGTCCGTTACTATCTAACAAATTTACTTCAGGCCCATGAGCTCCTCAAAATCACAAAGAGTTATTCAAAAAACGACATTCGACGCTTAAAAATGTTGTGGAGAGGACATTTGGGCTTTGGAAGGCTAGATTCTAATACTCAGGAATCAAATGTAGTATCCTATACAAACACAAGTTGATGCAGTTGTTGTATGTGTAATATTGCACAACTACATCGTGATGACACGAGGAGCTGAAAGCAGAAGAGAGCTGCGTTTTTGAAGGAGGATTGAGAGTGAACTGGTAATTGACGGAAATGTTGGTTTCTCGCAATTGACTTAGGGGCAAATTGATCATGATGATGGTGTTAGTCTGCGAGATGTCATAGCGACGCAGTTGTGGGAGTCCTATCTAAGTTGTTAGAAGTTATTTGACCCATTTTTTATGTTGAAATAACACAATATATCTTTTTATTGCGAACTATATTTGTGTTAAGCTGACATTTTATTGATTTTCAATTATGTATGTTCAAACTATGACAGGTTATTGTTGAACTGTTGTGTTCATTCAATTACATTTTCAATTATGTATGTTTAAACTACTAAGGGACAAACAACAATGTTGGTTTGTTGTTGAATGACTTATATTTTTTAGGTTGGGATATAGATGCATCAGTGGTGAATGTAAGTAGTGCTCAAGTTATTACGTGTGATTGTTGAATGGCCTGATTTCTAACTGCTTGTATTGTGCATGTGTGTTTGAATGGGCTGATTTCTTAGTAGTTGCATTTCAATTATGTATGTTTAAACTATTACAGGTTATTGTTGAATGACGTATATTTTTTAATTGTGAATGACGTATATGATGTGGGTTGAGATATGGATGCATCTATGGTGAATATAAGTAGTGCTTAAGTTATTACATGTGATTGTTGAATGGGCTGATCTCTTACTCTTTGTATTGTGCATGTGTGTTTGAATGGGTTGATTTTTTAATAGTTGCATTTTCAATTATGTATGTTCAAAATTGGACGGCTGGATGGTAGGGGGAGGATAGAGGAAAGTATAGAAACCTTTCCCTCAAGTTATTTCAGAAAAATAATATTGTACTTTACTTTCAATTGATATTGTATTCCCAAAAATAATATTCTACAAATTAATAACAATAATAATATCTATGTTTCAATTTTAGCATTTACATCTTGCTTAATACTTAAGCTAATACAATACAGATACCCGATTTTTCTTTAACTTTATTGGAGGTTATCAAACATAGAAACCAGGAACTTCTTAATTTCTTAAGAGGTTATCAAACATAGAAAGCAAGAATTTCTTAACTTATCAAGAAGTTATCAAACACAAAAACCATGAACTTCTTAACTTCCCAGGGATTTTATCAAACACATAAATGATGAACTTCTTTAGGAACTATAAAGTTATAATTCTTCAGTAACTTTCAGTTATCAAACAAGCCCTTAGGGAAGGTGGGTAAAGCGCAAACTCAGGCAGTCAAACTTGAATCGGGCATTGCCGATCCAGCTTCGACTAGTTTTGGTTAGGGGCGGTAATGAGTCGGGTCCAAAAGTTGGACCCATACCCGTACCTGTCGGGTCTTGGGTCTGGTTGGCTCCATTGCCACCCTCACTATGAGCTTCATTTTTTGTAGCCTACAATGGTGAACAACATAGAACTAATTTTTGATGAGTGGGTGATTAGAGAGAGAGAGAGGCATTCGAGATCCAGAGAAAGGGAGAGACTTAGGTCTCCAAGAAACTGAGAGAGGGAGAATTGCAGAGAGGGAGGATGACAATGTGATTTGGCCGTTTGGAGAACTAGGGGAAGACGAAAGGTATTGAAACGATTTTAGGGTTGGGGCTTTGGCCTTTGGGTAAACTAAAAATTCAGGTTCGGGTACCCGCCGGATTGGGTATAGCGGGACCTGTACCCATACCAAGTACTATCCGGGTATCCTTTATTAGACCTGCACCCTACCCGTGGATCCAAAACTTGGACCCATACCCGGACCCGTGTCAGGTATACCCGGTGGGTATGGGTTGGGTTGGGGTCCATTGCCACCCCTAGTTTTGGTGGTCCGGCCATGTATTTTATAAAAAGTTCAAAAACAAATGTATAAAATCCAAAAAAATAAAGGATTTGTTTGTAATGTGTATTTTTTTTTTTTATCATTTTGCAAATATTGGAAAGTTTTTTGGTTATGAATACTTATTTTTACATTTTCATATCCTGTTTGAAAATATCCTTGGGCACAAATCAATTTTTTTTAAATCCATTCTTTCTCTACTTTTCAACTTCATTCGGATGTGCTTTGTTTAATCATGCTTTAAATATATTTTTCATATTTTTTTAGATCTTTTTTACATTTTTTTTTTAATATTTTTTGGATATAAGGGTTGAACCGACCGATTTACCAATTACTCGGACAAGACCTGTTGGGTTTATGTGGCCTTTAAAGGCTTTATGAGTGCTTATAAAATGAAATGATATAGTGGAACATGAACTCAGTGGGAGTGTGGTCCCTTGTTGACCATACTAAGCAAACAATTGTTTGCTAATACCGATCTGTGCTTAACGATCTAGGCTAGCCGGTTGGAAAAAACCCATGTTACCTGGGCATGAAGAACAAACCGATGAGGGTTTATGGGTTAACCCTTGATGAGGTCGGAGAACATGCCCGGATGAGTGAGCCGAGGGATTGTGTGACCCTTGTGTGTGATGGTGGCCTACAGAGACAGGGGCTAAAACCTCATCCATGTACCATCACATGGTATCCATATCGATAGATCATTGGGGAAAACGAAAAAGCCTTTTAGGGTAAAGCGTATGCATGCTTGAGAGATACCCCTAGGCGCCATAAAACTGTGGTCGCGTACGGTCTTGGTGACATTGACTTGTCTCTAAAGGAGGACCTGTAATCCACAGACTAGAATTGCGACCTCTTGGCTCATCCGCTAGACTTTGGTGACCCGATAATGAGCCCCTGCTCGGACTATAGGTCATGGGAAACACTGGGTTGATTCGATAAGGCAAATGTGGTATGTAGTTCACAGTTGAAGGTGGAGTGTCGCATGATTGCAGATTAAATTCCTTAACCATATGGATCAATTTTCCATTGAGTTAATTTAATTATGTTTGTTTTATGATAGAAATTATTTTAGAATTATTATTTGAATTTTTATGAGTCATTTGATATTTTATTTATAATTTTTTTTGGACTTATAAAAATGAAGATATTGATTTTACAAAATTATAAAATTCAAATAATGTTTTAGATTTTTTTTTGATAATTTAAAATTATATAAAATATCATAGAAGGGCTCATAGTGCACATGAGCCTATCATGTGTCAAGTGGGTGGGGCCCACATGTGCCACATATGGGTGGCACTTCCCACCCATCGGATTCTTTCTTGGAGTTTAAGTTATTTCATGTTTTGGTAATATTATGTTATGGCCTGTGGTCAAATAAGATATGGAATATTTTGACCAAATATTAAAGGTGTATGTTGACTTGATATATCTTTGGAATATTTTGTGAAAAATTATGGAATGCATAATATTTTAATTAGATTTAATTTATCTAATTTCTATTGATGGGAAAATGGTTAAGAAAAAAGGGATAATGGTCTATGCACTTTCTATAATGTTGATGGCCTATCTATGGAATAGATGGCTCAGATCTCTCATCTCACAAGTCACTCTTGATCGACGGTTTATGTTCAATATTACAAGCAAGCCGAGGAAAACCCTAAAAACCTTAATCTTGTTCAAGCCTATAAAAAAGAGATTGTCTCTACTCAAAATCTCTACACTTTATCTTTCTATCTCTCTCGTAAGAAAATTTCTCTCTCTC